GGGGGGGGGGGGGGGGGCTGGGGCAGCCACTATTCATGTAAATAGTGGTTGCCCTTGCAAATAGTATTGTGTGTTTCCACATGTTGTCATGGCAAAGGGCAATTACTATTCATTTTTTTGTTTTTTTTCACAAATTTTTTTACCTTAATAATTAATTTGGATAATATTTTCGGATAAGATTTTCGGGTTCCTACGTGCATTGGCGGACTCAGAAATTTTTTAGCGGAGGTGCAATATTGACTAAGTATGAAAAATACTTTTTCGGAATAATCATTTTCTCAAGATAATTTTTGGTGGCTTTTGTTCCTTACACATCAAATAAGAAAACTTGATTTTATGGGATTTTAGTATGAAATATATATTGACTTAATGAGCCATCATTTTTTGCCTAAATCGTATTTTGCACTAAAACCGATTTTTCATATTTTTGATTTCGTGGGAATTTGATTTTCTAGTATTTTTATTTGAATCCAAATGAGGGGTACTTCCTTATTTACATTGTAAACTTAAGTAAATAGAGTAATATAAAAATAAATAAAAGTAAAAGGACAAAGACATTTACTTAAATGTTGAAAATGAAAATAAGGTCTTGAAAGACATTTACTCAGAATATTTTGGTATTTTTAAAAAAAAATTTCAATTTTTTTTTCATAATTTTATTGCCAAAAAAATGCCAGCCGTTGGATTGGAGGAGGAGAAGCAGATCGGAGCGCCAAGGCCTTGACACCTGTCTTCTACAGGCTGGAGCTTGCACTGACGTCGAGCTGACGTCATCAGCCCTCGGGCGAAACTGGCCTTCGGGCCAGCCCGTCTTCGTGGGTCCCACTCCCAGCCCAGGCTTGGGCTCCTTGTTGGAATTGGGTTTTTTTTTCCCCCCAGCCTCTGTCTGCCTCTGTCTGGGCTTACCGCTGGAGTTGCTCTAACATATGGTTATAAAAACACAAAAATAATGAGTGAAGATGATTGCCCAATAACTTTTTGGCTCAAATAACATTGGTGGAAAAAATTCGAATACAGAGGCTCATGTGTAAGAAAAATTCGAGTCTTGGAAAAAAAAGTTTCATACATATATTTCATTCATGTAAACTGACAACCACTAATAACACTCAAAATCATTACAAAAATTTTGACCCAAAAATAAACATTACAAACATTTATTACAATATTAAAAAAAGAAGTTGCCCCCCAAAAAACACAGGCAAAATGTTTTAAAAACAAAACGCCCAAAAAAAAAAAAACATCAGGCATGTGCAGATAACTCCCTTGTAACTTGAGAGAGGTGAGGATTTGGCTCCAGATTTGGCTCTTCGGTATTTTGATGTTCATGTTCTGAATTCAGTAAGCGCAAAGGATGTGCATAAATACAAGTGGAGTTTACAGGTCCATGCAAAGATAGGATATAACAGAGGCCGCCCTCCGTTTGGTCCTCGAGCTAACCTTACACTTCTCGACCAGGACCTTCTTTATGTTGGGGCAACTTGAAACCACAGTGGCTACTCCAGAAGAAGTTATACCCGGGCAATACACCATGTGGCAGGATGCAAGAATTGTGCAATGTTTAACCAGATGGTTTATACCAACATCTGTTATTTGACGGCAATGAGACAGCACAATGTCCTTCAGGTTTGGACAGCCTTCTCCCACTTCAGCCATTGCCATATCCCCCAAATTCTTTTCAAAAGAAAATTATGTTAGGTTGAAAGAAGGATTGTCGAACGAGCCAAAGATATCCACAAAGGTATTGCGTTTGCATCAATTATACATGCCAAAAAGATAATATAAGAAGATGCATGTGTTTGTTGGGAAGAATGGGTGGGGGGGTAGAAGGAAGAGAGGAGAGAGGGAGAGAGAACACACCTGGAGAACACTGACGTCTAGGTAACTAAGTTGTGGGCACCCTCTTGCAATGGCTATCAATCCAGCATCACCAATTTGGTGGCATCCACTGACATTCAGATATTGTAGCGAGCTACACTGAGCAACAGCAATAAGGGCCTCATCCCCCACTCTAGTAGTAAAAGGTAAGGTTAGGAGATGTGCAAAATGATATACAATGTTATAGACATCATGAAGTAATATAGGTTGTAGATTCCAAACAACAAACATTAAAAAAAAGACGTTAAATGAATGTTTGAAACAGCAAATTCTGAACTGAGCAGACAGAAAAATTAAGGATCTGACTTAGAAAAAGAAATACAGAAATATTGTGTTAAAAGAAAACTTAAGAGAAACATACACAAGATGTGAAGAAACTTTACCTATCACAAAACCGGAGGCTAAGGTCTGTGAGAGACCTACAATTCTCTCCAACTGCTACAATTCCTGTGTTCCCAATCTACACCAAAGGCAACAGATATACACTGTGATCAATAAATCCAAATAAGTAAATGACTCTAAAAATAAGGAATTTTTTACAGAACATATATAACAAAAGAATATTTTCAACATGAAAGAATACATTTCCCAGTAACATATTACATTTCAAAAAAGGGAATATGATTCTACAATCTAACATTCTCTTATTCCGGCAACCTGAAAAATTGTTCTGCATCTAGAGTCCAAGAAGAATATTTTAACCAATTAAAATTAACCAAGGAAATGTTGAATAACATGAAATTTTTGCAAAAATAACTGGGAACCTCCTGAGAGAGAGAGAGAGAGAGAGAGAGAGAGAGAGAGAGAGAGAGAAAGAGAGAACCTCATAACATCGACGAATGTGAAGTTTCTTCAAATTTCTGCAGCCTTTAGCTATACTGCAAATGGCCTCATCTCCAATACTTGAGCAATCTACCAAGTGCAGAGCTTGCAAGAACTGACAGCCCCGTCCAACCTCACTGAGTGCAAAGTTGCCTATCCTTTGGCAGTATAACAGTGCTAACTCAGTAAGACGCCTGTACATTTTCAAAATGTTCAGATTAACTTACCATCGATGCACAAATGGATACTTAAAACGACCGATTATATTGACCCCAAAAAAAACCATAGCTATGCAATTTCAGATGAAGCAAAACGTTAGAACCTAAGAAAATATGCAAGAAACATATGATGGAGTCTATGCAACTCCTTAACTACTGGAACATATGCCATGACATCATACTCAGAAAACAGTGAAACAACTGTTTAGCTCGGTGTATTGAAGAACACAATCATCAACTCCCACTACTGAGCTAAATGTAAAATTTCCAAGGATACAACTTCTGAATGTACATAATTTTCCACCGACAGTAGAAACTCACTGCTAAACATTCATGCCAATTTTATCCATATAACACATTCAAAGAAAACTAGTGAAAGCATGTAGCTTAATGGAATTCTTCAACAGTTTAGCAACATCTATAACTCAAACATGGCCTCCACTCAATGCATCCACACATTTACCAGCTAAATTACCAATTTAAGTTAAGCTGAGAGAGCAACATACGGGCAAGATTTGCCAATGGATTCTAGGCCCATTGTTCCAATATTGTGGCACCCATTCACTTCAAGATGTGTAAGTTCCTTGCAGCCAGTTGCAATTGATTCCAAAGCATTGACACCCAGGAAGTAGCAGTCACTAAGAATAAGATTTTTTAACTTCTTGCATCCATTCCCAATAGCACTTAAACCTCTGAAATGTACCAGACATGAAAACAAAGAGAGGGTTATTTAACTTTGACAGCGGAATTAATGAAATGAAACAGACAAGAGCAAAACTTCATATTGTTCTCAGTAATCTTAGAAAATAATGTCTACATGCACAATCTGAAGTTTACACAAGTTATGCCATGGATTTGGGTGCATTCAATGTGATACAGTAGAGAAACAAATGCTGAAACTTGAGCAGGTATTCAGTATTCATTCCAAAAAGAAGCTTCGTATTGGAAAGAACTCAAAAAGAAACTACTAGGGATAAAAATAACAGGTTCGTTAAGTATGAAAAGTAATTCCATTACACTAAATAATAAGTGAAACATCAATATGAGGAGTAACGAGTACTAACTTATCAGTAAATCTCTGGAAGCTATACAGAGCCAACACCTCCAGCGACGGACAAGAAGTTCCCACAGCTGACAAAGCTTCATCTGTGACATTAATACATTGTAGCTTCATAGATTTCAAAGCGGGACATCCTTGGGCCACAGCAACCACCCCTTTGTTGTGTATGAACTCTGCATCCAAAGACAAGTTCTTGAGAGATTTGCAGTGCGACCCCACTGCTTCCATTGCAGTATCAGTTATCTTTGCACAAGCAGCGATACCAAGAGACTTCAATGACTTCCCAACACCATGCGCTAATTCAACCAAACATACGTCAGTCAATCCCTCGCAAAACCGCAAATTCAAATCTTCAAGCTGCTTGCAAGACTGTCCCACGGCAGCTAGGCCCTGATCTCCAACATAGCAACCCTTTAGAAAAAGAAAATTAAGGTTAGCAGGTGAGTTATGCAGCGGACTTGACATGTATATCAACTACCAAATTTCAATGTGATTCACTTAATGAAAAAGACCCCTCCTTTAACAAAAGCAAGAGTGCAAGCAGCAAAACGGTACCAAAAACATTGCACCGAAAATGAGAACAAAAGTCCCAATCTACAATGCACATTGCTGAGCATTAGAATAGACTCTACAAAAATGGTAATTCGTAGGCAATATAGAGCAATAACCAGAAGAGATTAAAGCCTAATTAACCAAAAGCTCACCTGCAAATCCAATGATTTCAACAATCTACACTTTCCCGCGAGCGATATCAATCCGAGACTGGAAACATTAGAGCACCAGATTAAGCTCAACTTTTCGAGCTTCGGAAAGCCTTCACCAATAGCAGTCAACCCAGCATCCGATAAACTACATGAATCAGACCCAGGATCAGGGGACCCATTTTTCTCGCTGGCACAATGCAGCTTCACCGACGAAACCCCAGCAATATCAGTCCCTCTCCTCCTCCCCTTGAAACACAAAACACAAAAACATTAAGACCGTGTTTGCTTCAATGAATTAGAATTATTCGATTTGCATTGAATTTAGGGATTGATTGATTACAGGGGGCTGACAAGGAAGTGAAATGTTCAACCGCTCGTCAATGTGAACGGTACGGACGTTGCGAAAGCGGCCGGCGAGGAGGTCGACAACGAGGTTAGGGCTACCGGTGGCGCAGATGCGGAGAGTGGTGCGGCTGAGCCGCTCGAGTGCGAGCCACCGCTTGCAGACGAGCGAGCAGGCGTCGCGGCTGGGCTTGGAGTCTAGCCGCCGGAACATCTCGAGGATGAGCTCGTCGGGAATAAACGTGTTGATCCGATCATGGCCTCGCATCGCAGAGAAGTTGAGATTTCTGAGGCTCTGAGGAAGCTCGAGCTAGAGAGAAGACAAGGTTTGGGGATCGAAGGAAGAAATGAACGAAGGAAGGCGTTTGTCTTTGCGTTTCTCGGGCGTTTCTTTTCTTCTGTTTTCTCAGGTTAGCGGTGGAGTCGGCGGTTAAATTGCGTAGTCGTTTGTCATAAATGCCCCTAGTTGTTGCGTAGTCGTTTGGTCCATTTTTTTACTTTCCTTCTTTAACCTCTGTCTAAAACATGCTTTGATTGCCATGTTGATCTTTCCACATTTTAGTACGAGTATAAGACGGGTCGGGTTTTCATTTGTTGTCGGATCCATAATTATGGCAATCACAATTTTTAGGAATGGCCATTTTGAACATGACATGATAACATAATTTGATCTAATAAGAGGTTAGTGAGTTTGGATTGGTAATTTCTTGACTCGATAATGAAAATGTTACGATATGCTAATATGAATATATATTATACTCGAAGAAGAATTTAAGCATGTATTTTAGAATTTTAATCACTCGATGGTGGTTTAAGTATGGCTTGTAAGGCCTGGTTTAATCATTCTAGTATTATTTTATCTACATGACATGAGTGATTTCCAGCATTATTTAAGGGGCACACAAGTGATCGTCTAAAAACGGAGGTTAAAAGTCATTAACATGTAAAAAATAAATTTTCTAAGCATTTGGGAGAATAGTACTAGACTAAAAGTTTATTGGTGGTTTGGTTAAGGGTTTTGATTCCTCCATTGTGAAAAAAGGGTTAAGGTTTTCATAATTTATCTTACACCTTAGTGTGGACTTTTGTTTAATTTATCACTAGCCTCTCTGCACACGCTTCCGCGCGTGCGAGAGGCTTTTTTTTAATCATGCGTGCTACGCTTGACTTACAAAGTTTTAGTTTTAATTTTTTTGCAATTGTATTTTGCTAGATGCCTATATCAACAATTTTAATTTTTTATCGCCCTTATTTTTTTAGATGCCCGTCTCAACAATTCACACGCTATAAAAGAAAAAAAAAATTGTTGAGATGGGCATCTAGAAAAATAAGGGTGATAAAAAATTAAAATTGTTGATATAGGCATCTAGCAAAATACAATTGCAAAAAAATTAAAACTAAAACTTTGTAAGTCAAGCGTAGCACGCATGATTAAAAAAAAGCCTCTCGCACGCGCGGAAGCGTGTGCAGAGAGGCTAGTGATAAATTAAACAAAAGTCCACACTAAGGTGTAAGATAAATTATGAAAACCTTAACCCTTTTTTCACAATGGAGGAATCAAAACCCTTAACCAAACCACCAATAAACTTTTAGTCTAGTACTATTCTCCCAAATGCTTAGAAAATTTATTTTTTACATGTTAATGACTTTTAACCTCCGTTTTTAGACGATCACTTGTGTGCCCCTTAAATAATGCTGGAAATCACTCATGTCATGTAGATAAAATAATACTAGAATGATTAAACCAGGCCTTACAAGCCATACTTAAACCACCATCGAGTGATTAAAATTCTAAAATACATGCTTAAATTCTTCTTCGAGTATAATATATATTCATATTAGCATGTCCAAGAATGGACCCACAGTGAGGTCAATGGAGTCAAATGACCCTATAGACTCCATGGAAATAAGCTTAGAGATCCACTTGAGCTGATTGTGCGACCTCCATGAAGTACCCTTCACCTATTTGATATTTGGCCTGAAGGAATGGCCTACTGCGTTTTTTTTAAACACGCTGGGCAAAATGACTTCGTTTTCGCCCAATGAATTTTTTTTTTTAAATGACCTAGCCAAAACGACGTTGTTTTGGTCCATGTCTTTTAAAAAAAGTAAAACAATCCCCAGCTATTCCAAAACCCCTCCACCCGATCACAGCCACTCCAAAACCCCAATTCTTTTCTTCTCAACCCTAAATCCCCAATCTCCCCACCCCTCTCAAACCTTTAACCCCCATCTCCCCCATTGCCGTTGTTGCCGCAGGAAAAAGCTTGTTGTCGTGTCCACCACCTCACAATTCAAGTAAATTCTAACTCTAAGCCTAAATTAATTGAATTGAATTTGAATTTATTATTTTATTATATTGTTTTGATTTATTGGATGTTTCATTTATAAATTTTTTGTGGTTAATTGGTATAAATTTGGTGTTCTCTTTAATTGATGTGAGTTATTAGTTTGATTAATTTATGTTTGAGTTCGAATGATTCATTTGTAGCTTTTGATAAACAAAAGCTACTTCGTCTTGCTCAATTATCCTCAAGACTTTTCGGATGAGGATCTTTTAGCACTTGAAGATCAACTTGAGCTTTATATCATCATGTGCGTTCGAATAGTGATTTCTCTGAATTGTAAGGGATTGGCGGTCTTGTAAAAACAATGGTGGAGACAAGGATGCATCAAACATTCAATTATGTGTATTTGCTTATTACATTGGCTTTAGTTTTACCAGTTGCAACTGCTTCAATCGAGAAGACATTTTCCGTCATGAATATTATTAAGGGTCCACTTCGGAACAAAATGGGAGATCAATGGTTGAATCATAGCTTGCTTGTTTATGTGTGAGAAGGATGTTTTTGCTTATATTGAAAATGAAGCTATAATGCTACGTTTTCAAAATATGAAATGTCATCATGGACAATTGTAGCTTGTAATGTTGTTTTTGACATGAATTATGAATTAACGCACTATAGTTTCATTTTCAATGTTATTTTAATCTTAAAAAAATTTGGAGCTTTTACACTATGACCCTATGAGATAAGATTCCTGAATCTGTCACCGCATATATCATATCATTTTCATTATCGAGTCAAGAAATGACAAATCCAAACTCACTAACCTTGTATTAGATCAAATTATGTTATAATGTCATGTTCAAAATGCCATTCCTAAAATTGTGATTGCCATAACTAAAATGTGTTAATGGGACAATAATCTTAACTTCATTGTCTAGTAACTAAAATGTGGTGTGATAGTGAAGAATCCACTAGTGTAGTGGTTTGGAGTCAATACTCCCTCAAGAAAGGTCGAGGGTTCGAGTCTTAGCATATGTGTAGCAGTGGCGGAACTGGTCCCATGCCTCCGCCCCTGCTGTGTAGTGTGTATGTGTGTGTGTGTGTATGTGAATTTAGTATGTTATCGTATCTCTCAATAATAATAAAAATGTCATAAAAAAATTATGGTATGCTAATTATCTATATATATAAAGCAAAAGGTAGAAAATGGTGAAACATTCAAAAATTCCGAAAATATCCTTGGTAAACTCAAATTTTAAAATGCACCGATTTTAATTAAAGCAGGTATAATTGTAAAAGAACAATTACGCAGAACTTTAAAAAAAATAAAAAGAAAAGAAAAAAGGTGCAGACCCCACTCCAGAGCAGTTTCTTCTGGCACGTTTTATTGAAAAAGGATGACAGCAAAACTGAAACCGTCCAAAACCCACCATGGCCCTCAGAGCCATTCCAACGAGGGGCTGACTGAGCCCAAGGCTGGGGGGAGAAAAACCAAAAAATCACGTTCCAGCGGTCAGCTGAGGCCCGGGTAGGGTGTGGGGCCCAGCAAGTCGGGCTGGCCCGAAGGCCAGTTCAGCCCCAGGTCCAAAACGAGGGCTGCTGACGTCAGCAACAATTTTTTTTATTAAAAAAATTCAGATTTTTTAAAAATAAATACTTAGTCATATTTTTCACTTCCCACACCAAAAATCTTTTTAAAAATTTTTGTCCAAATTAATTATTGAGGTGAAAAAACAAAAAAATGAATAGTAATTGCCCTTAGCCATGGCAACGGGTGGAAATACAAAATATACTATTTGGGCAACCACTATTCACGTAAATGGGTGGAGTTGCTCTCAAACTTGGAAATGCATTTCCTCCCCTCCCATGTTTCGCAGGCAAGAATCCTTATCTACTCACTGCATAAAAAGGTTTGAGGTTTTTTTTTTTTCTTTCTAGGTTTGTTTCTTCATTTGTGATGTCGAAAATTGAGAAGTAAATCATAAATTGAGTTTGGTTTGTTGTTACAGGGAGGAAGATTGAAGGAAAAAGAACTGGAGCAATCAATATTGGAACCCCCAGTCTTCTCATCAATCTGGTAGTTCATGTCTTTGTGTGGGTGATTTTCTCTTTGCCTGTGTTTATTCCAGAAAATTGGTATAAAATTATGCTATGATTTTGTGTACTTATTTTCGTTTTTTATTTTTGTGAATTTTCAGTATTTGTAAGATGTTGCAGTGTATGAGAGAGTCAAGAAAATTATGGTTTGATGTTGTTAAAACCGATTCGACGTTTACTCAGATTCTAAATCAGACGGTCCATCTCGCATCACCAACCCTCAGTCTCAGGTGATATGACGCCCTGCCTCTGCTTCTTTCATATTTGAACTGTTTCCTCTATAAGGGTTTAGTTAGATTATTCACTTGCATATATTCAGCTTAGCATTCCAAGTGTTTGTTAAAATGCGAAAGTTGATTTTAGTTTGAACGCTTTGTTGGTTGGCTTTATTTTGTATTATCTAATTTAGCTTTGTAAATAAGAATTGGGAAATGAAGAGAAATGAGAAAAGCTTAGTTCTTTCTAATAAAACTAATTTCAATGAATGCAACAACTCCATAATGAGGGTGAAAATGAAATTAGAAGTGAGAACAGTGAAGAGATTTGGTGAAAATTGTAAGATTTTTTAGTGTTGGTGAAATTTTGTCTTTTTAGTTCTTTTTCTTTGTTATATTGACTTTTTGAAGAATAGTTTCATGTATGAGTATGCCATGCTTCAGGATGCCAGGTATGGTCAAGTTTTCATGTGTTTAGGCTTGCACAAAACTCAAGTATTTCTTCCTAGGATTCATGTTATATGGATATTAGCCTCTCACCCTGTGCTTTGCATGCTTGAGGCCTTTTCAACAGAACCAAAGTTTGAGAAAACTGTTGGAATCATTGGAGTGGGGAATAAATTTTAAAACTCAATGGTGCGTGTAAGTTTGATTTCACTATTATGTTTTTGGCCGCCTTTATATTATTGTATGGTTTCTGAGAAAAGGGATCGAATGAAAAAAACAATTTTTAGTTTTAGTTATCTGATAA